CTGAGACATCTGTGAAACATCTAGATGATGATACAGAAATTAAATAAATGGAGTTCCCTGGTGGCCTGGTGTTAGGATTCTGGGCTTTCAGTGCCGGGGCCTGGGTTCAGTCCCTGGTCGGGAAGCTGAGATTCTGCAAGCTGCACGGTAAGGCCAAAAAAAAAAAAAAAGTTAAATAAATGGACGTGGAACTTAGAAGAAGTATCTGGATGGAATATATAAAATTTGGGATAAGGATGGTAATTGTAATCATGGAAGTGGAATGAGATTGCCTTGGGGATATCTGTGGAATGAGAATATAAAAAGCCTGAGACGGCACCCTAAGCTTCTCTCTACATTTAAAATTGCTCGTGCGCTCCCTCTCTCTCTCCCTCCCTCTGTCTCTCCTTCTCTCTCCTCTCCCTCTCTCCCTCTCTCCCTCTCTCCCTCTCTCCCTCTCTCCCTCTCTTCCTCTCTTCCTCTCTCTCTCTGCCCCCCTCCCCCTCCCGCTCCTCTCCTCTGTCCTCCCTCCTCTGTGTCTCTATCTTTCTCTCTCTATATACACACACACACACACATTATGTCTTTAGTATATATTACTTTTTGGAATGTGTACAAATTATATTAATTGTGTTTAGAGTTGGGAATATAATTAGAAATATATTAATTTATTTTATCTTTAAACAAACACTTCTTGAATGTGCTGTGTACTAGGTGCTGTGCTGTTATATGTAGGTGATTCACAGACCTAAGTTATAGATTCTGCTTTCAAATTGTATGCTAATTCCTTACAGAGACAGAAAAATAGACAAGATATTTTACGGTTGCTGTGATAGAGGTAAGCATTGGGTGTTTCGGGAGCACAGATTGCCATAGTGTCGGGCAGTGTTTAAGGAAAGCTTTCTGAAGGAGGTAAGACTTGAACAGAGTCCTAGAAGATGAGTTGGTGTTGCTAAGTAAAGAAGACAAGAAAGAGCTCTTACCACCACACTGTACGCCTCTTACAGTTTCGGATGCTGTAGAAAGGTCAAGTCATGGGAGGACCCTGGTGTCCAATGGCTTTGGCAATTAAGAGGTCAGTGGTAAACTTAATTGAGCGACAGGTAGGATTGGAAGCCAGATCAGATTGTGGTGGGTGGAATGGGGAGTGAGAAGTCAAACTCCTCTAGGGCAGGGTCTAAATCTGATTGTCTTAGTGTCCTCTGTGCCTTGCATAATCCCTGGCACTTGGTGTTTGTTACATTAGTTTTGAACAGAAGAGAGACAGATCCTTCTCTGAGATAAGATGAATGCATGAGGAGGGGATGAGTCCAGCTGCTGCATTCCCTCTACATGCTGAAGAGAGTTTGCTGTGAGCACTTGTAGCTCTTTACCTGTGTGCTTTTTTTTTTTTTTTTTTTTTTTTTGCGGTAAGCGGGCCTCTCACTGTTGTGGCCTCACCCATTGCGGAGCACAGGCTCCGGATGCGCAGACTCAGCGGCCATGGCTCACGGGCCCAGCCGCTCCGCGGCATGTGGGATCTTCCCGGACTGGGGCACGAACCCGTGTCCCCTGCATCGGCAGGCGGACTCTCAACCACTGCGCCACCAGGGAAGCCCCTGTGTGCTTTTTTTTTATGGCTGTGCAGGGAGGCCAGGTACCCTCCTGCAGCCAGAAAAATTCTCTGCATTCATCTGTTAGTGTTCTTATGTTTTTATTCTGGTCTTTTTCTTTATTTCCTTCTTTCAACGTTTTTCATTTGTTACTATATCATAAGCATTTTTCCATGTCATTAAAATTTTTTCATAAACAACATCTTAATTGGCTGCATAATATCATTTGATGTTTATTTGAACATTTATTTGCGCATTTGGTTTAAGTTTTTTTCTTTTTTAAAAACTTAATTTTGAAATAATTTCAGACTTACAAATAAGTTGCAAAAATATTACAAGAACTCCCATATATCCTTCAGCTAGTCTATGGTGGTGTCTATCAGGTTTCTGCATTGTAAAATTACTCTTTTCCTCTCTGTAATTAATAAGTATCTTGTGGGGAGATACTTTAAGATGATATATCCCATTTCTCAAAATATTACTTATTAATTTTAGCATCCTTTGATGTTTCATAGCTGAATTATTACTAAAATGATTGCTAAATAGTGATTTTCTAATTACATTATTCTACACTCATTCCACTGTAAGGGAGAGCTTTTTCCTCTCCTCACTTATTAAATTCTTATTTAATGGGTCATAATCTGTTATTATCAGTCTAAATTGCCCCAGACCTGGCCATTAGGAGTCCCTCAAGCTGACTGCATTTTCCTTTTCACATGGCACTCTTTGAGCACTTTCCTACTTTCAGGCTTATCTTGATAGTGCCTTCTCTGCCTCAGCCCTGGAATCAGCCATTCTTCCACGGACCCCTGGTTCCTATTACATAGTGGAGAATAGTATTTAAAAACCAAGATCGAGGTGCTAGGTGTGCTCATTGCTACTGGGATATGGTTGCTGCCAGGCCCTTTCAGTGGACAGAGCTAGGGCTTACAAGCATGTACATACACAAAAGCACACATACACTGTCCACATCTATAGTTATTTTTATATTTTTGTATGTGTATATATTGAAAACCATCAGTTCACGCTGATACCTTCAATTCCAATACAACCCAAAAGGTTTATTCTAGTTTTTCTTTTTCTACATTTTCAACTCACTTCTCCATCACTGAGAAATCTGGCTCCTGTTAGCCTCAGTATATTTACTTATTTGGTCAGTCCCTTATCACCTCCTGCCATACCCCCAGGCTTATCATGATGGCCTGATGCTCCTCCCCCTCTTAACTCCAGATATATTTGCCTACCTTGCTTGGCCCCTAAAGCCTAATGGCTTTTGATTTAAGTTATTCAGAAAGGAAGAGAGGGAGAGAGCTCATTCCTTTTAAGATTTATTTTTATTTTTTATTTATTTTATTTATTTTTGGTTGCGTCCGGTCTTAGTTGTGCACATGAGATCCTTGTTGAGGCACGTGGGATCTTTCGTCATGGTGTGCAGGCTTCTCTGTAGTCGTGGTGTGCGTGTTTTCTCTCTCTAGTTGTGGCATACGGGCTCCAGGGTACGTGGGCTCTGTAGTTTGCGGCACGCAGGCTCTAGTTGAGGCACGTGAGCTCAGTAGGTACGGCGTGCGGGCTTAGTTGCCCCGCGGCATGTGGGATTTTAGTTCCCTGACCAGGGATTGAACCCGCATCCCCTGCATTGTAAGGCGGATTCTTTACCACTGCACCACCAGGGAAGCTCCCTCATTCCTTTTTATGGCTGCATAATCCTCTATTTTGTGAATACACCATAGTTTATTCAATCCTTACTGAAGGGTTTTTTTCTCTTATATTACAAATAGTGCTGCAATAAGTAGCCATGTGCATAAGTCTTTTTGTATTTTTGTCAGTGTATCTTTGGGATAGTTTCTTAGAAGTGAGATCATTGGATTAAAGGGTAGAAGCATGTATGGTTTTGTTAGATACTGCCAAATCCCTCCTACCACCAGCAATGTATGGGCGTTCTCCCCACAGCCCCCCACTAGAATGTGTTGTCAAGCTTTTGTCCTGGCAGTGAGTTTGAAATTTCATCTCTTTCCGAATATCGAGATGTTATACTCCTCCTTGTCTTGGAGGTTTTGGCTTATTTTAAGCTCTTACTTGCTTCTTTGTATGTCACCCACTTCTGGAGATCAGCTTCCTGTTTAGGCTGTTTGTTCTACTTCTTTATTTGAAAATCTTTTTCCTTAATGGAAAAGTCAGAAATAAAATAGGTGATTAGTTCGCCATTCTCACTGTCATGTCTGTTGAACAAATGGGTAAATTCGTTGACTGACTGACGGTCGTGTGTCTGCCAGAGCCTTAGGGTGAAGTCACAGTATGGCTGTGGCAGTTCAGATGTCACATCTGCATTCAGGACAGAAGGAGGGGGGAAGGGCTGGGAGCAGCCACTTCAGTCCCCTTTTAAAAGGGAAGAAAAATCTTTCCAAGAACCACCTGCTTTTTGTAGGCAGGCTGTTTATACCTTAAATTTCTCGTTTTTGTCGGAGGATTGGACAGAGTACATGTCCTTTGTGCTACTGGAAATGCAAGTCTCCAATTTCTATTTCACTTTGAAAACTTTGTACATTTATTACTTGCATGAGTACAAATATTAAAGTTAAATATACAAATACATCGTGAAAAATACCGTCTCCAAACCCCCTTTTCAGACGTAATTACTGTCAACAGCTTGGTGTGTATTCCTTTATCTGTGTACTTCCTTCTTAACCTTAATTTTAAATATTACTGTCGGGGGCTTCCCTGGTGGCGCAGTGGTTGAGAGTCCGCCTGCCGATGCAGGGGACACGGGGTCGGGCCCCGGTCCGGGAAGATCCCACATGCCGCGGAGCGGCTGGGCCCGTGAGCCATGGCCGCTGAGCCTGCGCGTCCGGAGCCTGTGCTCCGCAACGGGAGAGGCCACAACAGTGAGCGGCCCGCGTACCGAAAAAAAAAAAAAAATTACTGTCTTCCTTCTTTGTTACCACCAGTATGGGGCTGTACATACATTCATATATGTACTATTCTACAAGATTTTTTTTTCACTTAGTGGTATACTCTAGCTATTTTTCTATGTCAGGACATGCCTGTGTGTCTCATTCTGTTAACTGTTACATCATATTCTATACTTTTTATTTTCCTGCCTTCATCAATCCATTGTAGGGTTTCCCTGGTGGCGCAGTGGTTGAGAGTCCGCCTGCCAATGCAGGGGACATGTATTCGAGCCCTGGTCTGGGAGGATCCCACATGCCACGGAGCAAATAAGCCTGTGCACCACAACTACTGAGCCTGAGCTCTAGAGCCCATGAGCCACAACTACTGAAGCCTGCATGGCACAACTACTGAAGCCCGTGAGCCACAACTACTGAAGCCTGTGCGCCTAGAGCCCATGCTTCGCAGCAAGAGAAGCCACCACAATGAGAAGCCCACGCACCACAACGAAAAGTAGCCTCTGCTCGCTGCAACTAGAGAAAGCCCTCGCGCAACAACGAAGACCCAATGCAGCCAAAAAAAAAAATGAAAATCCATTGTCCACCTTCTTTCCTCTGTGTGCTGGTGGCTGACCTCTACAAACTGTACCATCTGGGCTTCCTTGCCTTCTGGCTTCCAGTTGGGATCAGCTGATGAGAGACACTGATGGGTATCAGAGGACCAGTGGTGAGAGAAGTCAGAGTATTTATTGTCCCCTACCGTCCCTTGCCATGGACGTAGTAGCAGATGTGTTCCTCTGTGGCCACTGCTCCTGTTGGCTGGCCTCTCTTCTCCAGCCAGCTCTTGCTGGGTTCCAGTATCTCCCTTCTTTCTCTTTGCCTTTTCAGCTCCAAGGTAGAAGTAGCTTCCTATTGTTGCTAGTTCCTGGATGTGTCACTGCCCCTGGGTAGTTCCTCTAACCCTACAAAAAATCTTGTCATTAATTCCTTTGGTTAACTCCTTTTCATGTGCTGTCTACTTCCTGCCAAGACCTCAGTGATAGCAATGATATAAATATCATTGTGTACATTTACCATAATGTATTTGTCTGGTTCCCTATCGATGGACATTTGAGTTGTTTCTAGTATTTTGCTCTTATAACCAGTGTTGCTAATAAACATCCATGTATTGATACTTCTAAAATAGTTACTCTTGGAAAAAAGTCATAGAAATAGAAATGTGGAGTCAAGGTGTGTGAATGTTGTAAATTTCAACAGATACAGGTTTCCCCTGCTATCTGAAAGTAGAACATTCCTATGAAACCTTTCGGAAGCCAAAATGGTAGAAAGTGAAGAAGCGAATACCATTAATTTATACGGAAAACTTTCTGAGTGTTCTCAGATCCAAAGAATAACTACCAAATCATGCCAAATAACAGTTAAAACCTAAAATAACACTAATGTATGTTAAAAGCAGGAATGACATGATAAATACATAGCCTGTATAAAATAGAAATAATGTATTTATGGTGTAGTTTCCCTCACCAGAGTCAAGAAGACAGCAAGCACACTGGAAGGCTAAGAGGTGGTGGTGATGGTGTGTTAGGCTGAATCATTGGACGTTGGGTTGGTGGGAAGTATAGGAGACTAGGGTGTAGGAAAGAGGGGAAGAGGGTCATTTCTCAACACCTCATCATTGTCTGAATCCATCAGCCCAGGCAGGTCACTTATGTCTACACCTTCTATGGCTGTCTGCCTTGATGTCAGAGGTTGAGGTTCACTGTCTGCTGTGGCCGATGTGACGGGCTCGAATAGGACAGTATGCTTGATTGCTTAGCCTCACCCATTTTTCTGTCATACAATCCTTTATAGACACTCAAAACATCCTGCAAACCTGCCCTAAACTTGTGTGTCCTTTCAAAATTAAAGTCATACTTTTCTGCAATCATTGCAGCACTGTCGTTCATAGTGACAATCTCACGTAAGTGCTTTATATTTAGTTTCTGGTTGACTTCACTCATGGGCTATTTGCTACTGAGTTCAGTTTCAACCTATATCTTTTACTCTTGCAGTTGCATCAGCTCTTGGTGTGTCAGTTCTTGGTCATGGGATGCTAAAACCTCTTCAACATCTTTATCAGCTTCCACAAACCCAGCCTCCTTAGCCATAGTCACTGTCGCCATATTTATTGTTGATTTGAAGCCTTTAAGATTGCTCATTACTTCAGGACACAGTCTCTTCCAAATGCCAATTCCCACCAAGACTTTTAGCCTAATGAAAGCATCTCCAGATTTAGCAGTAGCCAATTTTATTTATTTGTTTCATTTTTATTTATTTATTTATTGAATGAAAGATTCTTCATATTCTATAGTGCTCTGCAATTTTCAAAAGTGTCACACACATGATTTCATATAATCCCATAATAACCTTTTTTTCCCCCTACCCCTGTATTGCCCCTCACGCCTTCCCTTTCCCCACTAGTAACCACTTGTTTGTTCTCTATATCTGTGAGTCTAGCAATTGCAAATTTTATGTTTTAATTTTTCCAGATCTCTCATAATGCTCTGGAGTTTCCCTCTCTGTCAGTGGCATTTATAATAAAATGCATCACATTTTTGCATACAGTAAGCCTTAATTGTGGCTATTAGGCCTTGGCCACGCAGTTGCAGCAACAATGTCATACTTGGCGGTAAGAACACAACACAAATGTTGCTGCCATACCTGGTAATGCCAGGTGGATGAGCAGCACAATTATTGACAACCGCAAGACACCTCTTATGGAGGTTATTTTCTCTACAGTATTTTCCAGCAGAAGGGCTAATGTATCCACTCATGTACTCAGAAAAAAATCACTTGGGTATTCCAACCACTTGGATGTGAATGAAACATAATAGGAAGTGTATTCTTATCAGTGCCTTTAAGTGCCCTCAGATTTTCTGAAGGGTACATTAGTTGAGGCCTTAGGACAGCATCACCAGTGGTGTCAATAGTAGGCATTAGGATAAACCTCTCCTTTGATGCCTTGTGTCCCTTAGCCTGCTTTTCTTCTCTTGAAAGGTCTTGCTCAGCAATTTTTTCCAATAAATTACAGCTTTGCCATAGTTAAACACTTGCTTGTGTAAACAGCCACCTTCTGGGAACTTTTCAGCAGCTCCAGTATCAGCCAGAGCACTCTGTCCAGTAACTTTTAAGCTATGAAGCTGCCCTCGCCTCAAAAACCAATGAAACCACCCATGACTACCTTTATTTCTTCTTTCTTTTTTTTTTTTTTTAACATCTTTATTGGAGTATAATTGCTTTACAATGTTGTGTTAGTTTCTGCTGTATAACAAAGTGAATCAGCTATACATATATATATATGTCCCCATATCTCCTCCCTCTTGCATCTCCCTCCCACCCTCCCTATCCCACCCTTCTTGGTGGCATGGCTACCTTTAAATTTGACTCTCGTAACACTTTCATTACCATTGTCCAGTGCTTGCTTGCTTTTTTTATTTTTTTGGCCACGCTGTGCAGCTTGTGGGATTTCGGTTCCCTAACCAAGGATTGAACCTGGGCCCTCAGCAGTGAGAGCATGGAGTCCTAACCACTGGACCACCAGAGAATTCCCCATCCAGTGCTTTCCGTTTCAGCTTTTTGAAAAGACTGATTTCTCCTTAAGTATAAGATAACTTAATGCAACACTGTGCTTTGTACACCCATCAATCCACTCAAGCAGTAGACTTTCCAATTTATCCATTACTGGATGCCAGTTAAGAGAGACCCCTTTCCTACGAGCAGAACCAATAGTAACTTCGGCAGCTTTCAATATTCTTTCCCTCTGAGTGTAAATAGTTTGAATGGTGGACACAGGAACGTTCGAAGCAAGCGCATCTTTATTTTGTTCACTACAATCTAAATGCTTAATTACATCCATTTTTATGCTGAGCACAACACCTGTACAAGTTCTCTTAGGCTTTTCTGATACCTTAGGACACATCTTGCTAACAGATGCACAAAATAAATCAAGATAAAGCACAGATGCTCACAGATAGAATTCAAAGCTATCTATGGTGGTTTGATGCAGAAATGCCAAGTGTACTTCCTGGGAAAGGAGGTTGGTGGTGCTACTCTCGCTGCTCTGGGTGCCCGCTGCCTGTATAACCGCTGGATGCAAAACATGCTGAAAGCTATTTTCACCTCTTTTGATAAAAGTGAAAATCTTCTTTGGGTTTGTTTCATTTAGGTCTTTCATAGAAGCAAAGTGGCATAAAGCGAGCTTTCAAAAAGCAGGGGATACCTGTACTTGCAAATTCCTCCTAAAAGAGTCTACCAATTTACATTTCTACAATGCGTTATTTGATTTTTTTAAATCGAAGTATAGTTGATTTATAATTTCTTAGTTTCTGGTGTACAGCAAAGTGATTCAGATATATATGTATTATATACTGGGTTGGCCAAAAAGTTCGTTTGGGTTTCCTATAACTTTTTGGTCAACCCAATATATGCTTATGTATTCTTTTTCATATTCTTTTCCATTATGGTTTATTAGGATATTGAATACAGTTCCCTGTGCTATACAGTAGGACCTTTTTTTGAAAAATAAATTCATTTATTTTATTTATTTATTTTTCCTGCACTGGGTCTTTGTTGCTACACGCGGGCTTTCTCTAGCTGCGGTGAGCGGAGACTACTCTTCGTTGAGGTATGCGGGCTTCTCGTTGCGGTGGCTTCTCTTGTTGCGGAGCACGGGCTTTAGGCGCACGGGCTTCAGCAGTTGTGGCACACGGGCTCAGTAGTTGTGGCTCATGGGCTCTAGAGCACAGGCTCAGTAGTTGTGGTGGCACACAGGCTTAGTTGCTGCACAGCATGTGAGATCTTCCCGGACCAGGGCTCAAACCCATGTCCCCTGTATTGGCAGGCGGATTCTTAACCACTGAGCCACCAGGGAATCCCTCACTGTTGTTCGTTAAAAAAATTTCTTCATTCTTCTTGGGCATGAACTCTTCAGATTAACATTAGATCTAAGTTTTAAAAAATCATGGTTTTTGACTAAATTTATAGAGAACTGACATTTCAGGAGAACTGACATGTTTCCAATATTGAATCTTCTCACTTGGGAACCTGTTATGTCTGTTTATTTATTTGGATCTTTTATGTCCTTTGGTGAAAATCTTGTTCATTTCTTCCGAAGTTTAGTTTTAGGTATTTTATAGATTTTGTTGCCATCATGAGTGGAATTTTTTCCCCTTACAGTTTTTAATTGGTTATCGCTGGTATAGTTTTTAAAAAGCTGTTGATTTTTGTAAGTAAATCATATAATCACCTACTTTATTGAATTTTCTATTGGTTCTAATGATTTTTCGGTTGATTCTCTTGGCTTTTCTAGGTGGACAATTATATAGTCTGCAAGTGCTAACTCTTTATCACTTCATTTATAATATGTATACATAGGTTATAATATTTATAATATTTCTCATAGATTATTTCATGACTAAGATAGCTGAGTGGGGTTTGGGAAGGGTGCTCCTAGGAAGTCTTCCTGGCTGATGCTACATTTAAGGTGAGTATCAAAGAACGTGCAGCAGGTGAAATAGGTGGTGGAGAATGTATTCCAGACAGACCTTGAGGAGAGAAACAACAAGAAATGTTCAGTGACTAGAAAGAAGAGGGGCTAGAGCATAGGATACAAATGAGGTTGGGAGAAGCAGGAGATGGTTGGAGAGTAAATAGGGGTGCAGTGAGAAGCTACTAGACTCTAAGGAGCAATTACTTTATTTTAAAGGAATTGAGAATTTAATGAAAGGTCTGTTAGGCAGAATGGTCCCTCAAAGATGTCCACATGTGGGAATTCCCTGGCGGTCCAGTGGTTAGGACTGCGTGCTTCCACTGTAGGGGGCGTGGGTTCGATTCCTGGTCAGGGAGCTAAGATCCTGCATGCTGCACGGCGTGGCCAAAAAAAAAAGAAGAAAAAACAACAACCAAAGACGTCCACACGCTAATCCTTAGAATCTGTAAACATGTTACTTTACATGGCAAAAGGGACTTTGCACGTGAAATTAAGGCTACAGACCTTAAAGTAGGGAGGTTATCCTGGATTATTCAAGTGGGCCCAACCTAATTGCATGAACCTGAAAAGCAAGGAAGTTTTTCCGGCTGGAAACAGAATCAAGATGTGGTAGAAGGGGAAGTTGGTGAGATCAGAGTAAGAGGGACTTAACCCACCACTACTGAAATGTACCACATGGAAAACAGGAGCAAACACTGTCTGATAACCAGCAAGGAGACAGGGACTTGGGCCCTACAGCTGCAAGAAACTGAATTCAGCCTACAGCCTGAAGGAACTTGGAAGTATGTTCATCTCCAGAGTCTCCAGAAAGGAATGCAGCCCTGCTCAGCCCCTGGTTTTGGCCTTGTGACACCTTATGCAGAGGACCCTGCTGAGCCACGCTATGGCTGGAATTTTGGCCTTCAGAGCTCTGAGATAATAAATTTGAGTGGTTTCAGGCTGCTGAGTTTGTGATAATTTGTTAGAGCAGCAGTAGAATACTAATACAAAGGGGTTTAAGCAGGGAGGGAATGTTAGACTCTGTGTTATTAACAGACTGTTCGTGTGCTGTGTGGAAGATGGATTTGGGAGAGTGCAAATTTGGAGGCGTGGAAACTTGTGGGAATACAGTGGTGGCATGGGCTAGGGTAGTGATGGTGGGAAGGGGGTGTGATTTGAGATTTATTTGGGAGGTTAGACTTGCCAGAGTTTGGTCATTGATTGGGTGTCAGGAATGAGCGAGAGGAGGGACACAAGGATGACTGCTGATTTCTGGCTTGGATGCTGACTGATGGTGAAGCTGTTCTTTGAGCCGGGCTTGAGCAGGTTGGAGGATGCCAGGTCATCAACTCAGTGGTAATTCTAGGTGGTTCTTCATTTGGAAATTCTCCTATAAATACTTATTTTAAGGTAGAGTATATCAATAAGATGATTGCTTTATCAGTTAAGACCTAAATTGTTTTTTGGTTTTTTTTTTTTTTTAGGTCATGTAGGAAATCGTAAATCATGTGAAGATGGGACTCTTGGTATTTGTACGCAATCTGCTGCTAGCCCTCTGCCTTTTTCTGGTACTGGGATTTTTGTATTATTCTGCGTGGAAGCTACGTTTATTCCAGTGGGAGGACTCCAGTAAGTATGGTCACTCTAGCCTACCCCCAGAAAAAGCCTGCTGCAGATCAGTTATTGGGTTTTCCTGTGGCTGCTCTCATATTCTTCAGAGATGGGCAGTGATAGTAAACTGAGCATTCCTGGGACTTAGGCTTAGAAACTGCCTACCACTTTTGTTGCTCTAGACTGAGAACTTTGAAGTGTTTTAAAAACTGCATGCCATGGCAAATCCTTTTATGAACTCAAGGAAAACATGCTATTCTTCAATAAAAACCCAAACCATACCAGTACTTCTGGTTCTCGAATGTTGTTCTTTTTAAATTATTATACTTTATTGCCACTCCCATTTGCCAGTTACTGCCTTAGGGCTTGCTATTGCAGTTGGTTTTTTAATGACCTTAAAGCATTCATCTTTACCTTTTCCTTGGATTTTGTTTTTATTTTTAAATTTTTTTAATTAAAAAAATTAATTAATTTTTTTGGCTGCGTTGGGTCTTCGTTGCTGCGCACGGGCTTTCTCTAGTTGTGGCGAGTGGGGCTTACTCTTTGTTGCAGTGTGCGGGCTTCTCATTGCGGTGGCTTCTCTTGTTGTGGAGCACGGCTCTAGGTGCGTGGGCTTCAGTAGTTGTGGCTCACAGGCTCAGTAGTTGTGACTCGCGGGCTCCAGAGCGCAGGCTCAGTAGTTGTGGCGCACAGGCTTAGTTGCTCCGTGGCACGTGGGATCTTCCCGGACCAGGGCTCGAGCCCGTGTCCCCTGAATTGGCAGGTGGATTCTTCACCACTGTGCCACCAGGGAAACCCCAGTTTTTAATTTAATACTGTCTTTGTTTTAGTTTCCCTAAAGAAATTTTGTCTACTTAATCTTTTTAGCTCTTGCTGGTACTGAACTTGTACTTGAATAGAATAATGGCTTTTCCCCTACCCAGTAACTCCTAATCCCTTGCTCCCATTTGTAGTCATTCTCATGTGATACACTATTTTCTGTAGGGCTTCCTGACCCCCCTCCCCCAACACCGACTTGGTTCTGGTTCACCCAGCGTTGCCTGTGCTGTGGTTTGGGGTTTGCAGTTGAAGAGGTTGCACTGAGCTGCACCAGCCTCTGCACACTGTCTTCTTGGCTGTAGCTTCAGGTGTCACACAGTGACGATGCGTAGCTTTCCTTTTGATTCTTTTGTCTGATGGCTGTCTGAGCTGGGTGCAGGAAAATTTGGGTAGTCTGTTCTGATTCCTAATGCCTCTTCTCTAAAATAGTTTTATTTTTACAAACACCTACTGGATGCCAGTGTGGAATTCACTTGAGAATAGAGTCAGGCTCTAGATAAGAGGTTAAACTGAGTTAGAATGAGTTGGAAGAGGCAACTGGCAATTGGCCTAATACTGTATTGACTCCTTAACGTGGGAACTGTTCCTATGAAGTAGTTCATTATTTTCTCACATGGCCCAAATTACTGAAGCAGTTTCAAGCCAATTTAAAAAGTATAGTGTTATATCTTTCATATATTGTTTTATATGTAATGTTTAAGTGCCTCTTAAATGCATAGCTTATAATTATCACTAATTACTTTGTGTTTCCAGGGTTTATTTATATTTTTCTGTTCCAACTTATTTTTAAAATCAAGGAGACGACCCAGAGTAAGGGGTGTTTATATCAGTGCAGTGTAAAATTCTGTAGTTAGAGACATTGTCCATATCTGTAATGGATGGATTCATCTGTATTCATAAAAAAGGTGGAAGTATGTACAAGGAAGGGGGGGGTCTCCTTTTCTGTTAAGAGCTACAGTGGAAGACATAATCAAGGATTAGATAATTTTTTCCTAGAGAAATTGAGAAAAACATTAACTTTATGGAACACCTGTTGTGTGTCAGGTTTTAGACTAGATAATTTACAAATTTAATTTACTTCTTACTATAACCATGTGAAGATGCTATTATTATCCCTGTTTTCCATTTGAGCAAACTGAAGTATTTAGTTTAATTAATTTACCCAAGTTACATAGCTAATTATTAGAACTGGAATTGAGTCCTGATTTTCTTTCTTTAAAACCTATGTTTGTTATTTTACTGAAAAGTATAATGAATACTAAGGATAAGGTTTAATTCTGTATTGTAGTTGGTAAAAACAGAGAAGAGAGAGACTCAGAGAAGAAATAGTAGAGAGTATCAGCATGGAGATGGATAAAGAAAAGGGAAGGAAAATAAGGGGAAGGGAAAGAGAAATAGAAAAAGTCCTCCAGGCGACAAAGGGGTTTATTAGGTTGAAGGTGACAGGTGCTGTTCACGTTCTGTAGGCTTCCGTAGTTTGTTAGTAGTTATCTGCTGTCCTTTGAGTTAGTTGTTAGCTGACTAACCTCTATCTGCACCTTTTTTGTTATTCTGACTCTCAAGTCTTTCAGATATTTGACTTTGAATAGGTTGTTTAGACCTTCTTACTATAGCATATTATTTCTGTGCTGTAATATCAGAGAATAATGTCCAACCCTGATGGCTTACCAAGTCAGGGTTTACCTTTACTTTTCCTTGTTTACCGTTACTCAATAAACAAGGTCAGGCTGAAGGAGCTTCCAAAGCAGATGACTGCTGTGTACTGAAATTTAGGTGTTGGTTTAACAGTATTGATGATGATGCCGATAATAATGAAATGAAAATAATAATTTGTTGAGTGTCTACTATATGTCTGTATTATAACATGGGAGCTTTATATTCATAATCTCATAGTTTATATTGATTATTATTATCCTCTTTTACAGATGTAGAAACTGAGGCTTCAGAGAGGCTCAGTGATCAAGGGTTTGTATGTCTCTCATCTGCAGAGCTTAGAGGGCATTTCCAAGCTTGAAAAATAAATGTCTTTAGCATTATTTTTCCTTAATTTTTATACTATTTATGACTTAACCAAGATTAAGTATTGGAATTCCTTCATGGTGGGGGGGGTGGAAGAAGAGGAGTCTAGAGTCTTTTATTATTAAATTATTCATTCAATAAGCAATATGTTCATATTATGGCCCACAAACTGTTCTGTGTAAACTGGATATAAGATGAATATAGACTTTATGCTCTCAGCCTATAACGTGAGAAAGAAATAAAACAACATATTATAATATGTCATGTTCTAAAAGAGAGGTCTGTGTGAAATGCCATGTTAGAGCATGGAATCCCTTCCAACTAGAAAATCTTAAGATTTAATTAATTCCAAGGCATGTTGTAGAAGAATGCAAACTGTTTTGTTTTGAGCAGTTTAGAGCTACACATGGCCAAGGCATAGTCAGATTGCCAGGACTTGAGTCAAATGCTTAACCTAAAGGCTTCCTGTATGAGGAAGTTGAGATTGGTCTAGTTATCAATGTATTTTAAGAAGTTCTGTAGCTTGAGGTTTCCTGTTCTGTGTGTTTAGGAGCTTGGAAGTTGCTACTGTGACCTAACAAGTGAAACACAAACAGACTGAAAATTCAACTCTTCTTTGCTCTATAAGAGAGGGGAGCACACAGGCAAACCACTGCCAGCAAGGCTGGAGAGAGAGGTGGATACAGGGCAACCACTAAGAAAAGTTTAAAAAGTATAACCAGTATGCTGAAAAAGGAAAGAAAGTGGAATCGTAAAATGCTCAATTAAAACCACAAAAGGCATAAAAAGAGTAGACGATAAAAATAGGCACAAAGAATAAGGGCAACAAATAGAAAACTGTAATGTATATGGTACGTATTAATCCAGATGTAATCACTTTGAACATCCATGGTCTAAATGCACCAATTAAAAGACAGAGATTGGATCAGAAAACAAGACTCAACTGTCTATTGTCTTCAGGAAACCCATTTTAATTATAAAGACACATATAAATTAAAAGTAAATGGAGAAAAATATACTATGGTAACACTAGTCAACAGAAAGTAGGAGTAGCTGTATTAATTTCAGACAAAGCAGGCTTCAAAGCAAGGAAAGTTATCACTGATAAAGAAGGCATTACATAATGATAAAGGGGTCAGTTCTCCAAGAAGACATAAAAATTCTTAATGTGTATATATACCTAACAATAGAGCCTCAAACTATGTGAAGCGAACATTATAAAATTGCAAAGAGAACTAGATGAATCCACTGTCATAGTTGGAGACTACAATACCTCTTTGTCAGAAATGGACAAATCCAGCAGGCAGGAAATCAGTAAGAACCTAATTGAACTCAATAACACCATCAATCAATTGGATATAATTGACACCTATAGACTGCTTCACTTAACAACAACAGAATACACATTTCTTCTCAAGCTCATGCAACATTCAAGATAGACCACATTCTGGGCAATAAAACACATTTTTTTTTCTCTTGAAGTATAGTTAATTTCCAGTGTTGTGTTCGTTTCTGGTGTACAGCAGAATGATTCAGTTTTATGTATGTACACACACACACAGACATATATATTCCATTATAGTTTATTACACGATATTGAATATAGTTCCCTATGCTATACAGTAGGACCTTGTTGTTTATCTGTTTTATATATAGTAGTTTGTACCTGCTAATACCAGACTCCTAATTTATCCCTCCTCCCCTTTTCCCTTTAGTAACTGTAAGTTTGGTTTCTATGTCTGTGAGTCTGTTTCTGTTTTGTCAGTAAGTTCATTTGTATCATATTTAATTTAATTTATTTTATTTTTATTGGATATAGTTGATTTACAATGTTGTGTTAGTTTCAGGTGTACAGCAAAGTGAATCAGTTATACATATACATATAACCATTCTTTTTTAGATTCTTTTCCCATATAGGTTATTACAGAGTATTGAGTAGAATTCCCTGTGCTATACAGTGGGTCCTTATTAGTTATCTATTTTATATATAGTAGTGTATATATGTTAATCCCAATCTCCTAATTTATTCCCCCCGTTCATCTTTGGTAATCATAAGTTTTTTTTCTACATCTATGAGTCTGTCTCTGTTTTGTCAATAAGTTCATTTGTATCATATTTTGGATTCCACATATAAGTGATATCATATGATATTTGTCTTTCTCTGTTTGACATACTTCACT